CCCTCCCCATTATGGAATAGCATAGGGTGTTAAGAGTGTTTTAGGTTTTACAGTTCTTTGATGTAGATCATGAGCAGTCTGACTCACATTAATTGTTAATTTATAGATCACATCGCATTATCTTATTGCATTGGATACAAGCTGTCAGAGATGCAGAGAAATCTTCCATCTCCCTAAAAGTGTGAGGAAGCCATAAAATAGGATCAGATCTGGCAACTCATAGACAACTGACTCGAGTCAGCACTAGACAATAGTAAAGCTACACAGGCCTAAGGTGGGAATCAGGAGCGATCCTGACAGCCTCTTAACAGAAGGTCGTGTATAGGGAGTGGAGGGGGGTGGGGAGACCCCAGAATGGACCAGGTGGACAGGAGGAGGCTTGTATTCCAACCCTGAAGACTCCCAGATCCTCACCAAGGACTATCAGTACGGACACCAAGGACTACATCCCTACTGCTAAGGAGACCACAGGGAATAGGAGTGCCTTTAGCAGCCGAGAACTTTGAGGTCACCCACCCCCATCTGGAGCTTCCACAGAGGATGGAAGAAGTCCAAACTCTGCTGTGCAAAAACCAGCATCATCAGAATGACAACCAGGAGCCCTGAGAGGTCTGCAGAAACAGAAGAACAATAAACTTCCTTCGGGACTAGAGAGAGGAGCTTTCTCTGGTCCTCGCCTAGCTCTGACTCTGGGTCCCCACCCTCTCTTGTGATGACCATTAGGATCGCTCCAGAAACCCCTCAAAACAAACAAACAAACAAACAAAAAATCTAGAATGGACAGACAACAACAAGGAAAGCTTAGAATTAGATAGGAAATGGCCAGCGTGGATTCGCTCATACCTCACTGTGTGGGACACAAAGATTAGTTACGCCTCACTGGGCTGTTGGGTATTTCTCTGCACACTCATGCTAAAAAAGTGTTCTGTACCTAAACTGATGAAACATGTCTTGCTAGAGTTATAAGCCAGTTCAGACCACCCGAAAAGCAACCAAGTTCAGCAAAACCATGCTTCAACACTATAAACAGCTAAACACTAAAATAAAAATAGACACGAGACACCTGAATAGTAATCTATAGCCATTTTGAGGTGTATAGAACCTGGTTGAATATAAACCAAGACTGAAATGTCTATGAAGAAGTCACATGATGTGGTTAAGAACCTGCATTTTCCTATTAACATATTGGTTAATCAATACCATGTCAATTAATGCCATAATGTTGTAAATTGTTGTTGATGTTATGTTGAGGCTTTTAATTAATTGGGATGAGATATTGCCAGCTTTACCTTCAGACCAGAGATGGTCTCACCAAGAAATCGTTGAACTCGCCAGGATAATAAGATGCTAGACATATCCAATGAAAGAATCTCAACTGATTTTGAACTGTGGTAATGCAACAAGATGGAGAAATCCACCATGGAGGGAGGGTTTTGGGAAGGGAGGGAATCCCAGTGCCTATAACACTGTGTCACATAATGCAAAGCAATTTATAATAATAAAAATGTTAATTGTTAATATGAACCAGACCAAGTAGATACAAGAAAGAGAAATGAAAATGCATTCTTAGTTTTCACACATGCCAACCTACAATTCACTAACATAAATAGGTGATAGCCAGAAGAACCTGTTAAACTTGGTGTTTAGAGAAATGTAAAAAAAAATGTGCCCCTTACTTCAAATTACCTGAACGAGAACAATGGGTTAAATTTAAATGAACTTCACTCTAGTTATTCAATATCACCAAAGCATACTGAGTCAGTGCATGTGTATTATATCTAATTAGAGCAAGCTGAAATCAATGAAAACATGTTTAAATTGAAAACATGTAGCAATAAATGATATTATATGCAATTGCAATTCAAGCCAGGAAGCTAATACAACTATAATCCTGGAAACCCATTCATACATGTGCTTCTATGATCCATAAAATTGCAGAATTCCGTAATCTAAGATAAATGTCATGAGGGGAAAATTTTCTTACCATTACACTGAGAAATAAATTGCTTCATCCCAGAAACCACAGAGAATGATGCTCAGCAAGCTATGCCTCTGATGTGAATCCATAGTGAACTGAATCCTCAAGATGTGTTTATACTGAGGGGATGGTACCAGTTAATTTCCCTGCTGACTGATTATTATCATTTAACTTGTAAAAGCAGGACAGTTTTGGCCTGTCATCTTTATAAGAGTATCCACTCAAGGGAAATGTTTAAATTTTCTGGTTTCTGGAAGACATCAGTGGAGAACATCTGCATTCCACACTTAGTTTCCCTGCTGGCTGATTATTCTTTTTTAATTTGTAAAACCAGGACAATTCTGGACCTGCCATCTTTAGGAGAGTATCTACTCAAGGGAAATTTGAACTCCCCTGGTTTCTGGCAGATATCAGTGGGGAGTATCTGCATTCCACTTTTATCACCTCTGGACTCATTTCTCCAAGACAGGCCTGCCTGGGCAGGTTTCTGCTCTCAGTACTTGCTAACAAAGAAAAAGGGTAAGCTTGATTCATGACAAGTAGAATCCACAGCTGATTTCTCAGGAGAGCCCCACTGTCCAGGAGACTCATGGAAGATTCAAACTGATTCTCATCTGTGGATTTCAGGGCACAATAAGCACCTGTAAATCAGAAAAAGCTAGCTTCTCCCACTGGTCCACAGGAAGGATATGTTATCCAACCAGAAACATCCCTGACCCAGATCATGTACATTGACGGTAGAATGCAGGCTGCATTTCCATTCTCCATGGTAACACGGTTCCCTGGGACAGAAAGGGTAGAATCTCTTTCAACAGCGCAGAAGATAAAGCTCAAATGCTTATTAAAGAAGCAACACCCACTCTTCTGTGTTGTGACATATCACCCTCCGTTTGCTCTGCAAGTCTCACTTACATTCCCTTTGTTCCATACACTCAGAAACACAGAAACTAGACTACTGGCCATGCTCCACAATCATCTCTGTTTGCCACTTGCCTAAAATTGAATATTTTACATGAGCGAAATAGCTACATCTTTGATCCCTTTTAGAAATTCAATACCTCCTGATTTTAAAGTGATGATGTTGTTCTTTAGCTCATTATGGTCCAGTTACCCATGTGAGCTCTGTGAGGACCAATGATACTAGTCTATGAATGCTGGTTTTTAAAATGGAGACTTCTGTAGAATTAGACATGCTGGGTTTTTCCTGTCAGACTCACGGTATAAAGCTGCTGCTGCTATCCTTCATTTTAATCATTTAGTTAAGAGGATTACTATGTCCCCATTATGCAATGTGTAATTTTTTGGTAAAACATATTTCTATATAAATGCATGCATGTGTATGTGTAGTTATGTGTATATGAATTCATTCATTGAGAAGCAAAAATCCTTGGATAAAAATATTGAATTTCTAACCACTTTTTCACTCCCACAGAGGGCTTTGATGTCTCAGCTTGAGGTTGCATAATTCTATGACCCAAGAAATTCATCCAAATGGCTTCTGTAAGTAGCAAGTACTAAACCACATAATGCTTCAGTTGCTACCTTCCAGGGATTATATTACTCAGAATCAGAAACCAGACTCATACATAAGACTCTAATGCAGGTACTGAACAACAGGAAGTCAACATTCCAACCAGAATTTTAACAATAAGTCAACTATCATACCACCACCACCAAAAATATCTCCTCTATGCAAAATAGAACTATATAATATACTATTCAGTGCGATCGCCTTGCTGTCAATGACTTACCTAAATACATCTCTGAGTCTAACTGAAATGCTGTGTCTTATAATCAACATTTTGCAATTCCAAATTAGTACCCTATGCTATGTAACAACCTCTGGAAACCAATGATTTTATTATTGTTGCTGTTGTTTTTGTTATATCCTTACTAAATAAACAATATAGCTTTCTAGGGTGAGTGAGAGAATCCTCACAGATTTGCCTAATCACATTATCACTGAAAACAAGAATATTACTGCATGAAAATATCTGCATTACTGCTGGATCCCCAAAGAGAACTACCAGACAAAATAATCTCAGAGATCAGTGTTGGAAATGAAATTACTTCAAATGTCATAACTGAAAAGACATCATTAATCACATTGGAAGTGAAGACTGGGATGGGATGTTTAAGAAAGGATAAGAGAGGTAAAACTGCTCAGTCAACAATGGAAAGCATTGTTTGAGTCTGTTTACTTCACTGATTTGTCCCTAACACCTGTAACAGTATCTACTACATAGCAGGATAGGTTTTGTGACAAATTATTTAGTGAACATAGTATTGGTTAGAGAGTAGTGATTACTTCCTGTGAAACATTATACATTAGTCTCTGCCCAAGCAATTGGCATGTATTTTAGTCTTTGCCTTAGCATTTTGCCCATGCTTTTCTTTCTTGGTTTTTAGAACACCTCTACTCCCATAAGATGTTTCTCTGGTTGCATTGAAATGTGGCAGGGAACTGGAAATGGATGTGGTCATGCATTGAAGCAAACCAGATGGGGTTACCTTGTTATATAATAGTATGTTGCTTTGAAAACAGCTCATTCCCAAAGACGACCATCACTACCTCCAAAGATAGATTTCCATCATAGACAATCGCCCAATGTGAGGATCTGCCTCTAAGAGATTTCACCAAAGGAATGTCACCACCTAGGAATAAGTATCCATCACATAATCTGGGATATACCTAGATTGCATTCCAAGCATACTTCTACATGCCTGTATGTGATACAGTAACCTCATGCCTGGGTATGTATCTTAGGATATTTTAATGTGTAACTTAATATTTATTGGAACATTATTCACAACATTAGAAGTTGAACTCTAGTCCCTCAAAGTTGAATGAGAATTTAAAAACGTTATGTATCAACAAAGTAGGAAACTGTGAGGCTTTAAACAAAAGGAAGTTTTGTCATTGAATGCATGATGGAAGTAGGAAATGCAATAGCAGTTGAAATAAATCAAAATCAGAAAAAATACACTGTGAATTCAGCTGATATATAAGAGGGTATATGTTGTGCTTGCTTTGGCAGCACATATGCTAAAATTGGAACAATACAGAGAAGATTAGCATGGCCCCTGTGCGAGGATGACAAGCAAATTCATGAAGCATTTCATATTTTTTAAAAACAAACAAACCAAAAAACCAAAAAAAAAAAAAAAACAGGGGGATATAAGTCAATGAACAAGACAAAGATTTCAATCATAATTAAGACCAAAATCCAAGCAAGGAATCCATGAGGAAAAAAAAATCAAAATTTTGCATGAAAACAGGGATAGGAAAAATTGGAAAGTTTACACAGTAATATGAGATTTAGTATGTATAAAATATGGAGGCGCCCAGCACCATAGTGTAGTGGCTAAATTTCTTCCTTGCACCTGGCAGGATCCCACATGGGTGACCACTCTGACCCCAGCAGCCTTCAAACAACTGTATTAATGAATGTTCTTGATAATATTAGGAAAGAATGACTATCAGGTATATCAGAACAAGTAAAAAAATGAGTCAGCAGATTTTCTGTCACCTGCTTCTGAGCAGCAGTCCTTGTTACTGATCAAGATGATAAAAATGTTACAAAGCGAGTAAAATATCCCATTATTTCATCGTGCTTTTAACTTCTAGGTGCTAAACTCAAATCTCTCTCAAACACACTTTTATTCTTAAGTTACTGATTGAATGTAATTCAATATATGTAAGGCTCCTATTTTGCATACTGGTTTGGCCATTTCTAAAAATTGTTTAAGGAGTTTTCTTTTTATTTTTCCAGATTATTTATTTTTTTGGAATGTCAGATATACACAGATGGGAGACAAAGAGGATAATCTTCCATTGCTGATTCACTCCCCAAAGGCTTCTACCACTGGAATTGAGCCAGTAATGAAGCCAGGAGCCAGAATTTTTCTGGGTCGTCCAAGTGTGTAGAGATTCCCAAGACTGTGCGCTATCCTTAACTGCATTCACAGGCCACAAGCAGGGCACTGAATGGAGACAGTGTCACTGGGACACAAACCAATGCCCCCATGAGATCCTGGAGTGTGCCAGGTGAAGACTTTTGCCACTAGGGTGTGGCTTATGTACTTTAAGAATTTTTTCTTAAGTTTGAAATGATATTTATCAAAATAAACCTGTGATAGCAGGAAATGAGAATATTGTATATAAATAGTTCACCATGAAGAAATTACACACATATATTGAAATAAGAAATCTCATAGAAATGTTATTTGTATTACTAGAAAGCAAGTAAATGGGCATGATCCCATTGGAAATATCATCATCAAACATGACTCTGATGGATGGCAGCTCCAACTTGTGAGGAAGCTGGGGTGGCCTTGGCTGGACAAATGTAGTACCTGCTGTCATGAGTGTAGGCTGGAGAATGTAGTAGGTTGTGTTGAGTTAGGCTTAAAGACCCCATGATGCATATGCAATCTGAATGGGATGTGGGGCAGAACAGAACAGTCCACTGCTCAATCTTGCAAGCACAGGAAACCGAGCTGGGGACAATCTAGTGGGGTGTTTTGGGGGATTACTTTGACTGTGCCGCAGCTCTCTCTGGTGTACGTGATGGTGGAGGATGCGGTGGACAGGGTTGGGCTCGGCTGTGGCAACAACGGGTTTGAGGAGGAAGGAAGGCAGAACAAATGGATTAACTACCCAAATGATATAAGATAACATATATCTGGACAAATGGAGAGTCAGAGGTGATCTATGTCAGCCAGTTGAGTTTGGAAGGATTGCCTCATCCTTGGAGCAGTGATAGCACCAGCATCTCTGAACCATCAACACCACTTGACCAGAACACTCTGAAAATGCTCTACTACGAATAGTTTGGCAGGACATTGGGTGGCTATTCATAAGCAACAGTAACAGAGGTGGTTGGAGGCCCAACATTGTTTCTGCCCTGGTGTCCACCACACTCACATATACAGAAAGAAAATGTGTAAACGATGGTATTGTCTACTTTTCCCTGATTCTCCAACTTTCTCATCCTGATCATTTACGTGAACAGCTATCAATACATTTTTAAAAGTGAAATTTCTCTTTAAGGAATTTATTTCTTTTACATTTGGTATATTAAAGTACTTCTGATTTTTGTGTATTGAATTTATACCCTAAAATAATTTTCCATTTTTATGATTAATAATTTATGATACAGTTCCATCTCCGTGGAATTACACTAACCCTTTCCCCAAGGCCCTTGCCCTGCTATGATTCACCTTATGTTATTAAAATAGTACAGTTCTTTGTAAGGCATTATAAGTCCATCATTGCAAGCATGGGCAATGGCAGAGAGTCCAGCATCCTATTGTCATGATATGGTTAACAGAATCATTGAGAGTCCATCTTTGATCTGCAGGAAGAGATGCATACTGCATGTATCCTCACATCTTAATTTGATTGTCTTCATTACACAGTTGCTATACATCCCCTTAAATGAAACTCCACAAAACAATCAACAGGAAGAAAACATGAATTAACAATGTCAGGAAGATACATAACATGGTACTAAATGACTCATGTCACTGAAGAAATGAAAAAGAATATCAAGAATGTTCTAGGACCTGGCAGTTTGGCCTAGAGGCTAAAGTCCTCAACTTGAATGCGTCAGGATCCCATATAGGCACCGGTTCTAATCCCGGCATCCCCACTTCCCATCCAACTCCCTGCCTGTGGCCTGGGAAAGCAGTCCAGGACAGCCCAAAGGCCTGGGACCCCACACCCTCCTGCGAGACACAGAAGAAGTTCCTGGCTTCTGGCTTCAGATCGACACAGCACCGGCCATTGCACTCAATTGAGGAGTGAATCATCAGATGGAAGATGTTCCTCTCTATCTCTCCTTCTCTCTACATATCTGACTTTGTAATAAAAATAAACAAATCTTAAAAAAAGAATTTCTTGAGGAAAATAGTGGTACTATATGGCCTTTGAGTCAGTGAATAATTTGTAAAAAAAAAAAAAAGCTGTTTCAGGGAACTGAAAATAAAAAAAGAAATGAAAAATCTTTGAGATACAGTTTTGGCTTCTCTTTCTTGGTGAGATATGCCCCCTATATGTAGCAGGTAGATTTTTTTTTAATCCAGTCTATTAACCTATGAAATTTGATTAATGAATTTCCAAAGTTAATATGCATAGGTGATAACTTCTTCCTGTCATTTCAGCAGAGGGCTTTCTTTGATTTAGTGTTCTGCTCTTATTTTACTGGAATAATCTTTACATTGCTTTTGGTATTGGTGGGTTCTATTCCTTTTCCCTCTCAAGAGAACATAAAGATTGAGTTTTATTTGTAGGGCAGGTCTAGAAGAAGCATTTACTTTCAGTTTTTTCTGAGCTGTGGAAGAATTTTCTTTCATTGCAAAGACAAAGGAAAGCTTTGCTGGATATGCTATTTTGCACCTACATTTTTTTTTATTATAAAATCTGTATTAAGTCACTCAATTCTCTCCTATTACACATCAGCTGCCATGGCACCTTACTGTTTTAAACAAATACTAACAGATTTAAAGGGAGAAGTAAACTCCAATACAATAATACTGGGGGGAACCTTAATACCCCATGAACATTAATGGGCAGATTGACTAGTCTGAAGCTCAGTAAGGAAACAATAGAACTCATTCAGAAACTATTGTAAACGGTTATAGTTGAGCTCTAGAGAACCTTTCATCCTATGGTCAGAGAATACACTTTTTTTTCATCGGTACATGGAACCTTCTCTAACATTGATCATGTTATAAGACACAACACCAGCCTCAACAAATTTAAACAAATAAAATTACATCATGCATCTTCTGAAACAATTAAGGAGTCAGATTAGAGAACAAGTAGCCAAAACACCAAGGAAGACATGGAAATATATGGAGACTGAATAACATGCTATCAAATGAGCAATTGTTTAGACAAGGGATCAAAGGTTTAACTGAAAAAAAAAATGCTTGAAACAAATGAAGGCAGCAGCACTGCATATCAAAACCTAGGAGACATAATCAAGGCAGTGTTAAGAGGAAATTTCATCTCAATCAATGCATATGTTAAGAAAATGGAAACTATGATCTTACCCACTTTCTTGTAGCCCTTGATCAATTGAGCCCTGGTCAACTAAGTAAAGATTGTAAAAAAAAAATTAGTAATATAAAAATAGGAGGAAGGTCAGCAAAAATAAGAGTAAAAACAGAAGTTAAAGCTTGAAATAATGTTGTTCCTATAAATTGTTAGGACAATAACATTACCAGTGAAGTAGGTGATGAATGCATATTTCACAGTTGTGAGAAATTATAACCAAACTATTCATGGATTTGAAAGACAATCCTTTTATTTTCTGCACATGGGAAACTCCTGGATTTGATACCCATTCATTTTATCCAAGAACAGTTTAGATTAAGCTAAGAATTTACAAAATACATAACTAAAACTGACTAATGAAGACAGACTAGTGCCATCACAAACCAACTTACCATAGTTACATTTACAAGTAAGCTTGATTTGGGGCCCAGTGCGGTGGCGCAGTGGTTAAGGTCCTTGCCTTGCACGCCTGGGATCCCATATGGGCGCCGGTTCTATCCCCGACAGCCCCGCTTTCCTTCCAGCTCCCTGCCAAGCTTTGGGAACCTGCACCAGTGTGGGAGACCCGCAAGAGTCTCCTGGCTTTGAATCGGCATAGCATGGGCCGTTGCACTCACTTGGGGAGTGAATCATCGGACGGAAGATCTTCCTCTCTGTCTCTCCTTTCTGTATATCTGCCTTTCCAATAAAAAAATAATAAAAATAAATCTTTAAAATAAAAAGTAAGCTTGATTTTCACAGTAAATGCTTTAAGAGAAAATATCTAGATATCTATTCAAGAGGTTTCCACACCTTTCTGGCATGAGATATCACAACTTCCTTAATAAACTTTTAATTGTGATGATGAAGAAATTATGCTTAAGAGTAATTTGCTATACTAGATAGATATATGTATATTTCCAATGAATAAGGCATTTAATTTTTAGAATTCTTTGCTTCCCCCCACATTATCTCTCTACCTACATTTACTGAAATATAATTTGTGCCTTTTGACTTTAATAATTAAAAAATAGGATAAAAAAAGAAACTAGAAAAGCAACAAGTAAATAAGCTAAACTTACAGTTG